GCACGTCAGCTGAAACACGAGCAGCCCCCACCAGACGAGCACCCAAAAGTAGGCGGCGAGGCCGTCGGCGAGGAAGCGGTTGTCGGTCGAGACGTAGCCGAGCGCGCCGGCGACGATGACGAGCATGCCTGCGCACGAGCGCGCCGACGGCAGCGCTCGCTTGTGAAAGGCGTAGTCGAAGACAGACACGGCCAGCGGCGCACACGCACGAAAGACGATGACTGTCTCCACCTGCGGCGATCGAAGACCCAACGACTCGAGAGGAGGGCCGTCTCCACCGGCGGCGTGGACGGGGCGGCCGCCCTCCGCGGCGGGACGGGACTCGGCTGCGGGCGGGTGGGGCGCGTGCGAGCGGCCGCACGTTCGCAGTCATCAGCACGTGCATGTTTGACCACGTGCCTCCCGAGAAGGCGAGCACGTAAACCGCAAAGTGCTTGAGCTTGCACCACTCAAAGGCGTCCGTCTCGACCCAGCCGGCGGTGGAGGCGAGCCGGACGGCGACGGCCGTCGACGCAAACTGCAGCCACGTGACAAAGGCGGGCGCGCCTGATGTGTGCAGGCGGCCCATCGGTGGCGGAGGCGCGAGCTGGGACGAGGGAGGGAGCCACGCCGATGTGGTGCACGGCGAGCTTGTTGACGATGAGCATGAGTGCCGAGCAGGCGCAGTACACCGCCACCACAATGGCTGTGCTCAGCGGCTGCGTGGGGCGAGGAGGAAGGTGTCAGCCGTTGGTCCGGCGCTCTGGTCGTTGGCCGCGCGCACCGCGTTGAGCATCCCGCCAGGTAGCGGCGATGGTCGAGCGAGCGTGCGCGCGGCAGTGGCACTGCCCTGCCCGCCTCGAAAAAGAATTCACGTTATACATGAAGGTTGCAGCGAGAATCGGCGAGGGACTGCGAAGAGAGATAGGACGAGGCAGACGCCCAAGGGTGGGCGACGGATAGCGCACCACACCCCTCTTCTTAAAATCCCTGTGTGGTGGCGGCGTGCCGTCCTCCCATCCCTCCCTTGGGTGTCTGTTTTCTTTCTTTCCTTCCTTTTTCTAATTAGTCGAGTGCCTTCCTTGTCCCTCCCTTCCTTTCATTCCTTTCTCTGTGTTTGAAAAGGCGAAGGAGGGCTCGTTCGCTTTCCACCCACTGTGATTTTGTGAGCTCTGTGTCTTGATTTGCCAACAACACACCAAAACCCCAGTTCGATTTTTGGATGTCACGCGCCGGGCGTAACGGGCGTCCAAACCGACGAATTGGGCTGTGGGCGCCAGAGCGCCCCGCCCCATAGGCCCATTGTATGACGGCCGCTGCCGCGCTCCTCGACGAGGCACGGCGAGAGCGGCAGCTGCACGGCAAAGCGCTGCCGCCGCGGTCAACACCAGCGCCCGCAAAGACGGTCTTTAATGTCGGCCAGGCCCAGTACCAGCCTGCGCACCTCCACCGCGTCTCTGGCAGGCCGCGCCGCTGTCGTGCCGGGAGCGGGGCCCCCTGCTATTCGACGCGGCGTCAGAATGAGCTTCCGGCATCATCGGTGCCCGCGCCAGTCGCCGGGGCCTTCGATCCCTCGTCCGCCAGCGCTCCAAACTTCTCTGCCGCCCGCGAGAATGGCTCGCTCCCCGTGAGGCGTCCGGCCTAGATTCAGCAGAGACACGTGTGCCATACGCCACAAGGCCCTGTTACAAGCACGCACCCGCTACGTGTGTAGGCTCGCGAGCGCCAACAAGCGTGTGCTCTGGTCCCTCCCGCCCGGTGAGGCGGATGCAGCGGAGCTCCTCCCTCTGCTCCTCGAGGGATTGTGCGACCCGTCTGCAGACTGCCGCTTCCTCGCCGCCCAGGGCGCGGCGGAGCTCATCGACGCTTCAGGGCCCACCGGCGGACTACTCCCAGCCACGGCGGACGTCATCCCGCCAATTCGCGCAGCGCTCGGCACCATGGACCCGCCAGTCGTGTGCGCCGCGCTGCAGCTCCTCCGGCAGTTCCTGGGTTCGCACAAGCTTGCCGGCGCGGCTCTCCGGCCGCACTACCGCCAGCTGCTGCCGAGGCTCGCGCCGCTCGTGCTGCGCAGTCAGGAGCGCCAGCTTCGCGACGGGAGCCTCGACCGGTTGAGCGACCGCGAGATGCACCCGGGCGATTTGGTCGCATCGACCCTTGCAGAAATGGAGGCGAGGGGGGGAGCCGGCGCCGGGGCTGAGATCAAGACGGTGGTTCCCAGCTGGCGGCCGGCGGAGGAGGAGCTCCACCGCGGGTTTGCCGCGCCGGAGTTTCGCAACGGCGACGTCGTCGTTGTCGCTCGAGGGCTCGTCTCACACGTCGGCCACCGAGGGACACAAGTCCTTGCGAAGGGCACCGCTTGCGGCACCACGACGCTGCACGGGCTACGGGGTGGGGTGCGTGTTCCCCTATCGCCTATTAGTTCCACCCGCTCACACCCCTGGGACGGTCGACACATTGAGAGGCCCCCACACTTGTGTGTCTCGCAGGTTGGCGAGGCGGTCGACCTACTCGTTCACGGCCGCCCACGGCTGGCGGTGACTTTTGTGAACCCGCAACGACGACCTCAGTCTGCGTCGAGACCTGCAAGCAGGCAGCAGGCGCGTCCGCGGTGAGGAGGCAGGCGGCTCGCCAATTTCATCACGCATCTCTTTTCTTCTCCGCTATGGACCGCGATCGTGCAAAAAGGAGTCGGCCCAACATGACTCGTGGGCGGGGGGAACGGCGGTGTACTCCAGTGACCAGTGTACGCATGTTTCATTTTCATTTTTACAGACCTTGGTATAAGAACCTCGTATGATGGTTTATGTGCTCCGATACGCGTACAATCGTACTGCTGTGTGCCGTAAGCAGGGGTTTTGGAGATGGGGAGAGCTACTCGCGGGCCTTCACACACGCACTTGACCCTACTCTTACCCACAAGCGGGTCTCGCGAGAGCGAACACGATTGTTGTCAATCTGCAACGGGGCAGCACATCCGCCGGGACCAATCCTGAGTTCACACCCGTGAGTGCAGTGAGACCATCTGACGTCGATGCCACGTCGTATCAATCCGCCCCACTCATCGAAACATGAGCCGCCTTGGCGGGCGAGTCCTCCCACGACGAGTGCCGCTTGCCTAGCAGCGATGGGCCAGGGAAGGCCGTGCCTGTGGCCATGAGCGGTGACAGCGGCGACAGCGGGGACTGCGGAGCGGTCGTCGCCACCGAAGTGGAGGGTGAGTCCAGTGAGTGGCTGGGCGAGTCGGTGCTGCCGAGTTGCCTCGTCGCGGCCACCCCCAGAGCGTCGAGGTTGCCGAGCCCAAGCTTGGTGGCGAGCAGCCGCTGCAGGTCCGGCGTGAGCAGGGCGCTGCGGTCCTCGACGGGCGGCGGTTTCGGGTGGAGCGCCCCAAGCTGGGCGAGGCCGAGCGTGGCTTCCATCTGGTGCTTGAGCTCGGAGGTCATGAGCCCGTGGCCCTGCTGCTCCGGCGCCCGTGCCACCTGATGCCGCCAATCGACCGGCTCCCTCTTCTCGTGCAGTGCCGCCGTGAGGGAGCGTATTTGCCGGTCACGCTCATCGTCGTCCGAGGCGTGCACCACGCCTGCAGCCAGCCTCATGATACGCTCGCGGTGCTGCGCCCCCGCATCCGCATCCCCGTACCCCTCGACGGGCGGCGGCCTCCCCTTTGAGCGGCGCTGCAAAGAATAGAATCTGTTTTTGATAGAGTTGTCGGTGCGGCCAGAGAGGCGGGGCGACTTGATGATTTCGCACCAGCGCGTGCCCATCGCGGCGACGCCGCTGAGGATTGCCTGATCTTCCTCCTCCAGCCACCCCGACTTCTTCACGTTTGGGCAGAGGTGGTTGTTCCACCGCTCGCGGCACTGCTTGCCGACGCGCCCAGTCGAGATGCTGGTTGCGATGACGGACCAGCGGCACGGCCCGTACTTTTGCACGGCGGCAACAAGCGCCCGATCCTCCTCCTCGGTCCAGGGCTTCTTGTGCACCACAGAGGCGGCCGGCAGGAGGGCGGAGTGCGACATCGGGAATCGCTTTGTAACCGACTTGTTTGTAACAAACATACTCTGGTGAGCTCTGTGAACAGACGCACTTGAGATCGGGGGGAAGTACCACATTTTCCGCTAGGTTGGGCGTGCTTTCACAGCCTCACGAGAGTATAACAAACAACGCCGTTGTGATGCGACGGAACTGGCGCCTCGAGGCAGCGGTTGGGAGGCGGACTCGGCGGACGCGACGGCGGCGGTGGAAGCGGCGGCGGGGACGGCGTCGGCGGCGACGGCGACGGCGGCGGAGGTGGCGGCGGCGGCGGCGGCGACGGCGACGGTGACAGAGGTGGCGGCGGCGGCGGCTTTCTTTTTTATTCGACACGATAAACAATTGCAAGGTTGAGGGTGGGTGAGGGTGAGGGTGTAGACAGTAGAGTGTGAGCGCTGAAGAGACGTGTAGAGATGTATACTGACGCTAGAGCGCGTGCGTTTTGTAGAGAGCCTCTAGCTAGCCCTAGAGCGATGTATGTAGAGGCGCTCTACAACGTGAAATCTCTAGACTACAACAACCTCACATCACGATCGCTCTCCGAGGCACGGTCGCTCTCTGACCGTGGTGGGTGCGTTGGCTTGAGGCCAGCCAGGTTTGCAGGCGGGCTGATGCCAAAAACAAAGCCAACGTGGCCTGAGTGAGGTGGGAAAAAAGGCAGTGCATCATCTGGGTGTAACGTGAAGTGAGTACGACTGGCTTGGCAAATAATATGAATACACCGAAAATTCGGCGTATGGTTCGTAAGAGCCACATACATCAGGATCAGCAGGGACCCGAGGGACCATGTGGAAGACGGCTAGTGTGCTAGTGAGGACGACCCTAGTTGCCAACAACACAACAACCAAACAACTCTAACACTCACACGTCATTTGGGGCCTGGAGCCCCTGCAGACTGTAGTTTATGGTGGTTTAGAGTTTGCGGGGGGGGGACAGATTTGGGCGGTCGACTTCAATTTTTTGGGGGGTGGGCCCTGTTCACGCGCGCGCGAGACGTGCAGACTTTGTTTTCTAGTTGCCCGACCACCCCCACAAACAAAGAACACAAAATCTCTCTCTCACACAAAGAAACAACCCTGTCTGTCTGGGCAAAGAAGAAAGACTACAGCATGGGCGGGCACCTGCTCCTTTTTCATCTCCAGCAGAAGTGTTTTTAGTTATTTATTTAGCGCTCCTGGAGATTGAGGCGGTCGTAAGGACGGGTGTCCTGGAGATTGAGGCGGCGACTTGCAAGGGAAACCGCCGGCGTCCCCCCCCCCCCCGCGGGAAATTGAAAGGCACCCATCACCGCGACAACGCCTTGCTATCAAGGGCCAGAAACGCGCGCCTCATTGCCGTGAGCCAAGACCATGGCGGACCTGAAGAGCAACACCGCGTCGGCGGGCTCGGTGCGACCACCCTTGGACATCCCCGTCGCACGCCATCGCACGCTCGCGACACGATCAGCGATCATCCCAAACCACAACGCTGCTGCCGTCGCCGCGCCACCGCCACAGTCGCTTGGCTCGACCTCAACCATCTCACATAGGGATCCCCGACCTCGCTCACACCATCACACCCCACCGCGGCCGCGAGCCACCACTTCACCAATCGGCCCGCCGCCTCGTACAGGGCACGGAGAAGTGGGGCGAGACCTTTGGCTGCTTCGAGGACTGTGGTGGCTGCATGTACGTGTCCTGCTGCCCGCTTTGCGCCCGCTGCACGATCGGCGAGATGATCGGCCCAGACGTAACGGTCGGAAAGAATATGGAGCCAGCGAACGAGTTCGCCAACTGCCAGAGCTGCTGCTTCAATTCGTGCACCTTCAGCCTCATCGGGGCTTTGATCGGGCTAGTTGCATGCCCGGACAAGACATGCTGCTTCTACGGCGCGGCGCTGCGCCGCCCTCCCCGCTCGACCCAAACTGGCCCCACTCACCACACAGCTCCCCCCGCCAGATATCAACATCATGAAGGCCGCGGCGGTCAAGCTCAACAAGGACTCGGCATCGCCCGGGCCGTGCTGCGAATGCTGCCAGGTGTGGTGCCTCGGCTCCTGCACCACGTGCCTCATGTACCGCGAGCTCAAGACGGCGAACAACAAAGCCAAAGGCGCGCCAGAGGCGACCGAGATGGAGCGTTGAACGAACGGGCTTGCCTGCCTTCCGCTTGAAAAGAAGGCACCCACCACTCCAAGTGCTCCACTCACGCCGTCGGCCCGCGCGCAACGGATTTGGGAACCAACAAAGGGGAGGTCCGCGTTTTTGTCGGCTCAGAGGCATAGACGGATTACTCAAGTGTTGTGGGAGGGGATGGTCGCGCCGTGTCAATTATGCCAGTAGTGCTGTCAAGTGAGCTGATGTGGCGTGCGGGCTCCCGCGCTCAGGGGGCGCGCCAGTGTGGAGAGCCCGGATTCCCGCTAAAGCCTAAACGAAATATCTCTCTTCACTCACATAAACGCACGACCCCGGGCCCCACTCACGCATTTCCTTCATCCGTCGTCCGCTTCGTCCCGGGTCCCAAACGTCAGCCCTTGCCCGGTCAAGAGCTCGCGGCCGACACAAAACCCTTGGTGAGTCCAAACAGGCGATGTCGCACGCAGCCGCTCGGCGGAAGGAAAGAAAGAAAGCAAAGAAGGGCATTGCACGAGCGCCACCTACGGGGTACCAGCTCTAAAGTACTCTGAACAACATCGCACAGCCTGTCTGGTATAGCCCCAGCCCACTCCGTGAACTTTCGAGGGATGCTCTCGAGCTCGTCTCCTACCATAGGTCTACACACAGGGGGGTTTTTGCTAAGGTGTAGATCAGGTTCCACAGCATCGTCCCACACGTAGCTCAGCGGTCAGGTGAAAAGGGGTTTTTGCTAACGGCCTCCCACACACGCCACCCACACCGGATATGTCTTGGGCATTTTTCGCACTTTTCTTTCTACGTCGGTCGGGGTCCCGTGGATCGATTTTTCAAAGTGAATAGACAATAGTACGGCATAGAAAAACTGCAAAACAAAAGATGCGTTAGCTCGCCGCGAAAGCAAACAGAGGAGGGCGAGGAGGAGTGATTAGCACGCGTCCTCTGCCACCGTGCGCGTGTTATGAGGTGGTGCGAGAGAGCCATTTGCGTGCGAGCCCGTGCCCCGTCCCGCCACCCGCCCGCCCCGCCCCGGAGCGCGACAAAATGTGAAGGGTGGGCCACTTGTGTTGAGGGATGGCAACCCAGGTGGGTGTCCTCCGCCTCCAGCTCAGCCGCCGCATCGAGCTCCGCCTCATACGCGTGTGGCTGTGGGCGACGGAGCCGCCGCTGCGGCCTTCCGCCGTCGGGGCGACGGCGACGGCGGCAGCGGGCCGGGCGGCGGCGGCGACGGTGGCGGTGGTAAGGGCGGCAGCAGCGAATAAGGCGGCGGCGAGGGCGGCGGCGGCGGCGGAGGAGGCGGGCTCGGTGGGGGCGGCGACGGTGGAGGCGGCGGGGCGGCGGCGGTGAGGGTGGCGGCGGTGAGGGCTGCGGCGGTGAGGGCTGCGGCGGTGAGGGCTGCGGCGGCGAGGGCTGCGGCGGCAAGGGCGGCGGCGGCGGCGAGAGGGGGAGGCCACGACGGCGGCGGCGGGCTGCGCGGCGGCGACGACGACGACGACGGCGGCGGCGGCGGCGGCGGGCTCGGTGAGGGCAGCGACGGTGGAGGCGGCGAGGGAAGCGGCGGGCTACACGGCGGCGGCGAGGGCGGCGGCGGCAAGGACGGCGGCGGCGAGGGGGGAGGCGGTGACAGCGGCGGCGGGCTGGACGGCGGCGGCGACAGCGGCGGCGGCGGCGACGGCGATCTGCTTCTCCTCGCGGCCTCCGTCGATGGGATCCTGTCGGCAGCCGGGCGGCGGCCGGACGGTTCGGTGAGATGAGAGGCGCTGCCGAGCGCGGAGTGGGCGCGGGGGGTCCATCGGGGATGGCTGGCGGCCGGGGGCGCAGACCCACACCGTCATGCTCGGTGTCGGTGGGTCCCACGGATTGAGCGTGTAGGTGTGTGGTCGTGAGGCTCCCACACAGCGAGTCCCGGCTCCCACGTGTGGAACCTCCGTGTGGGAGGCGTGTGGAACCTTAGCAAAAACCCTGTAATACACACATAAACGCACAACCCCGGGCCATATACACACATATGGAGGCCAAATTCGCCCGCGCCGCTGCTCGCGACGATTTGCGGCAGTCCTTTAACTGCGGCGGCGCAGCTCTCGTGGACTGGGACGGCGATCCGCTTTGCGCTGCCGCTGCCGCTCGCCGCGGCCTTTCTCTTTAGGGCTGTGGACGGCCTCATCTTCGAGCCGGCGCTCAACGAGGCTGGGCTGCCGCCGCACGCCCTGCTCGGCTTGATTATGGCGACTTGGGTCTCGCTCTCCCTGCTCTCCGTCAGCCGGCCATCTGTTGCGCTCGCGCTGGCTGCCACCGCCCTTGGAACCCTTAAGCAGAGGGTCGATGGGGGCGTCCTCAAGCCGCCCGCGGTCTCGCCGACGGCTCCAGTCGTGGCGCTCGTCACGGGCGCGAGCAGCGGCATCGGCCGTGAGGTTGCGGCCGAGCTCGCCCGCCAAGGCCACACCGTCGTCATGGGCTGCCGCTCGGCTGCCCGCTGCTCCGCGGCGCGAGTTGAGATCTTGGCCAGGCTCGACGTGCCGGGCTCGCGGCTAGTCATCCCGCCAGACGCGCCACTCGACCTGGCGCGGCTCTCGACCGCGGCGCGCTTCGCCTCCGCGACCGGCGAGGCGACGGGCGGCGCCGCTATCGAGCTGCTCGTCCTGAACGCGGGCTTTGTGCCTCTGGGCAGCGGCGGGAGCGGGCGGAGCGGCGAGTCGGGGCTCGAGGAGGGGCTCTACGCCATGTACTACGGACACCAAGCTCTCGTGCGCGGCCTCGCCTCGCTCCACCTCCTTGGCCCCTCCGCCACCGCCGTCGTCGTGTCGTCGGATGCGATGCGGTTCGGAGGGTTCGACGGCTCGCTCGAGACGGGCTCGGGCGCGAGAGGTAGCCGAGACAGAGACAGGCAGCCGAGAGTGCGCCGTGAGAGTAGCGTCTCGA